GGGGTTCAAGGAGAAGATATCTGTTGCTTGTGCCGAGAGAGAAGAACAGAATCTGAGGAAAGAATCCAAGGATAAGGAGGGTCTAGAGGTGTACGGAATGTTGAAGGAACGAATATGGGTCAAGGACTACCTACATGGACCAATGGATGCAGGAACAAAACTTAAGGTCAAATTCAGGACCGGGGACATAGGCATTTGACGAAGACATAAGGACGGTAGACGACGAAGACGACGAGTTCAAATGTGATTGCGGCTTCGAATGCGAAGACCGTGTTCATGTAGTCGCGGAATGTCCGTTGTACAAGAAGGAGAGGGAAGTGTACGTGACTGAGCTGGGAAAAATAGATGGAACGTACAGGGAGATGTTTGAGGCATGGAATAGAGAGGAAATGACGGTAGCTGTACTGGGGCATAGGAGGAGGGTTGAAAAGGCGGGAAGGGATATCGTTAGGATAGACAGAGTAGCGAAGACATTTTTGAGCCACCTTCGGCAAAGTAGAAAGGAACGATTGGCCATCGGTGATCGATCCTGTGGGAACAGTGCTCCGTCCTCTCGAAGACGCGTGGTCAATGATCTAACCGCTAAGGCATGCAAAACATAAGAGTACCCCCTCCCCCCCACCCCAATCCAAAACCCAGAAAGATCGTTGCGTAGGAAACCGCCTCATGCACCGCTTGAATGAAATGATGTTATCCATGATCGCACGGTACGGAGGCCATCCGGTACGGAGGCCATCGATATCCGACGCGGGTTACCCTGCAGTAAATGAAGATGCATTAATTCGTGTTCGCCCCCGCCCCTCCATATACCCCTCATTACCGCCAAGGATTGTAGCGCCGGAGACGCACGTCTGCAAACGGGTGTAACATGCGTGACCTGCGATGTGTGTCACCGACCGCGAACTATTTCACTCTAGCAACCACATTCGAGAATCACCATCTTGCTGGAACAGAGCAGAACTCCACGTGCTTCGCGTTATCCTATGCATATTTGCTGACATATCGTTGGTCGAATGATAGCAAACGTCACAACAACCTCAGCGCCTCAGCCGAAGCCCATTGTTTTGAAAATACGCACACCAGCAATTGATCCGTATCTAGTTTCCGGTCTGTACCTCACATGCCTGTGGCACGTTTTCGGATTCTCTTCGTCGCAAAAGCTCATCCTGTTCAGTACCCAACCACGCCAGGCATAGCGCCTCACACCATAAGCGTTTATAAGGCTACACGATGCCGAAGTTGTGGTGTCCGTGAACGTCGGAAGGAGGGGGTCCTGCCAACAAAGAAGGGGCAAACAAACATTGCTACACTCCGGTACTCAGCCGAATGCGGTGGAGATGGAGAGGCGAAAGAATGAACACGCCTGCAAAACAGACGACAGCACTGATACGCATCAGAAGTACCAAGAGCTGCAACCCACAATCGCGCACACCTTGTTCACGGCTTTGTGAGAAGTATAAGCGGGTCAGGAGAGGAAAACTGGAGCTCTGCCGCACGAAAAGCCCGCTCTTTCTTTCGACCAGCAAAACGGGAACCGCGTGCAGCCACACCACCTTATCTGGCGAGCGGTGAGCCTCAACGAGACTCCCCAAGCAGAGTCCGATGACTTAGATACCAAGAAGGCTAAAATACAACTCACTGCTGTCCACCCCGCTATAAGGGCGGCTTTCTCTTTGGCCGGATGGGTGGTGTTGAGTAAACACCAGCTTGTTTTCGCTGGAAGAGTCGAACTCAGTATGAGAAGATGTGAAACCTCGCCAGCATCGGAGATGGTTGAGCTTAGGCCTTCTTGGGGGTGGAGGGTTTCTTTTTGGTGGTGGTCTTCCTAGCCGCGGGCTTCTTGGCGGTGATGGGCTTCTTGGCGGTGATGGGCTTCTTGGCGGTGATGGGCTTCTTGGCGGTGATGGGCTTCTTGGCGGTGACGGTCTTCTTGGTGGTGGTGGCCTTCTTGGCGGGCTTCTTCGTCGTGGTCTTCTTCACAGCGGGCTTCTTGGCCACCTTCTTCGGCACCTTCTTCTTGACGACCTTTTTCACCACCTTCTTTTTCACGACCTTCTTGGGGGCGGGCTTCTTTGCCTCGGCGCTCAGCTTGTAATAGCTTTTCACCTAGATAGTGGATGTGTTGCATCACGAAATAAACGCCGTGTTGTGCAACATGGTCACTTCAAAAACTCGAAACCTGGCTGGCAGAAAAATAAAGAACACCAGTCGGAGTTGAATCTGCTCTCACACCGTTTCGGTCAAACCTATCTTAACGAATTTCGACGTCCACGTACATTTCTCCTGAAACAAGATGCCGGCGCGTAGTGCCTTGGCAGCGAGTGGAAAGATAAAGTCCTGGAGAATAAGCTTGTGTCGAGACCTCCGATTTTAAAAACTAAGAACCACTGTTGCTTCGTTCGAACATGTCGTAAATTGTAGGCAAAGCGCCTGCGTCTTCACCAAGCCGGCGTTCCCAACATCGACACCTTCATGCTATTGGATATACAGTAGTGGGCCCCCTATAGTGCACTTTGAATAGTGCAACCGCCCGATATAGTGCAGGTAAAATCTCTGCGCACAGTCGGCGCCCTCAATAGTGCAGGATCTGCACTATTGAGTCAGATACCCGATATAGTGCAGGTTGGGCAACGCGGTGCCCCGCAATAGTGCAGGTGGAGAAACATTCACACACACACACACAGGTCGATGCGAATAATAATAAAAACACACACACACACGCGATCAAGAGAAAAACAAGACACACACTCACGAACAGCGGATAGACGCAACACAAACGCGGCGCGCGTGCTGCTGCAGACCCGAAGAGCTGTACGCAGCGCAGAGGCGCACCATGCCCATGGATCTGGGGGTCATCGCTAAGACAAAGGTCGTCTACGGGAAGGAGCTGCTCGATGTGAAGGCATCAACCATGTTGGTGGCTGACACACTTCGCGCCCAGGCCAAAGCCCGCAAGATGAAGGCCGGGACAATGGGGCTGGCGCAAGGGCACCAACCTCATGTGCGGGACGCGGCTGAACTCCTCCAGAAAGCATGGGCCAGCGTCACCCCCCAGGATATTGCCAGGTGAGGTGTGAACATTGCCATCGCGATTTTGAATGTTCAGCTAGCGCGCGTGCACCTGGCTTCTGTGGTGCGATACTTGGGTGTGTACAGTTGTTCGGTTTTCTTTTTTTGGCCGAGTATTCCAGCATCTGGACATCTCCAGTGTATCTTCACTACCAAAAGGGTTGTCTCTCACATCCCGATGGGTCAATTGTTCGTCTAACATCGCTTGTTCACCCAAAAACCGATGAATCGCATTTTCTGCGCTACCTCGCACCAGGTGCTTCGTCAAAGCCGAGACGCTTCCAGAGGACATGGCGGCGGAGCTCACCAAGCAACACGGAAAGACCCGGTTCGACATCGCCGAGCCTGACCTGAAGGCTCTCACGGAGACTGTCAACACGTTGAGCACGAGCGTGAGCGACGCGCAGAAGCAGGGATCCGCCGTCGTAGATGACGAGATCGCCGAACTGCTGGCAGAACTCAACATCGAGCCTGGACAGCCGCTCGGGGGGCAAGCGGTGAGCGCAATTCAGGGATGGGCTACCATCGAGGACGATGCTGAGGTGGTAGAGGCTCTTCGGCTGGACGCGGCGGACGACATGGCGGCATTGCTAGCTGGAGCGCGCATTTCTTCCGGCTGCGATGAGGAAGATGAAACGGAAGATGGCGGTGGCGGTGAGAACACGGGGCGCGAGCGCCGTGCTCCACCGGCTTATAGTGAGCTGTCACCTCACTTCGGCGTCCTGGAATCGGCAGCAGATGAGAGTGGCAATGGAGACGCGGCGTTCCATCTGCAGAAAGCAAAAATGGCGATGATCGCAGCGCATGCCGCTAAGCGGGTGCGCCAGGCAGACATGAGAGAGTTTGTCCAGACGTAGTGAAGGCGGCGGGTGTACGTGGTTGTTTTTTTTTCCTTGCAGTCAGCTTCCTATGCGCCTTTCTCGTTTCTTTTTGTTTTTTTTCCCGCAACATCGCAGCGGGTGCGCCGGGCAGTCATAAGGGAGTTTGTCACGACGTTAGCATGGGTGCGGGGTGCATGCTTGCTTGATTATTTTTTTTGCAGTGACCTTCCTGCATGTTTTTCTCTCTTTTTTACTTGTGTTTTTTTTTTCTTGCAACATAGCAGCCGGTGCGGCAGGGGTCAGATAAATTGGCACGACGGAGTGAGGTTGCGCCTGGCTGGTTGTGTGTGTGTTGGTTCTTGCTAAATCGAAGCCAGGTGCGCCAGGGAGACATGAGAGTTTGATCATCACGTAATGATGGCAGGGGCCAGCAGTACATGGTTGCTCGTGTTTTTGCAGTGGGCTTTCTGTCGTATTTTTTTTATACACGCAAGTCTTTTTCTATCACCAACATCGAGGGAAGGCAGGCAACGAGGACTGAGCGTTAGCTTCGGCCACTATTAGTCCACAATCTCGATCCATTTCGTACTCTGTTGGCCCCGCAAAGCGCGGACGCCACACTCACGACGTGAAGTCGAAGAGTGCCTCAATAGTGCAGAACCTGCACTATCGAGGGCACCCTTTTCAGTAGTGCAGGTGCCTGCTACAGTGCAGGTAAGTTCTCACGACAGACCCCTGCACTATATAGGGCCCACTACTGTACTCGTAGCATAGCATGATATTAAATGTTTCACGTATACATGTACTGAAATTGCAGTAGTGACGAGTGCGGAGGAACAGGAAGTTTATCATTTTTTCCTTGGGAGTGTGATGGAATGGTGGAGAATCATGGAGATTCGTAGGGTACTCTGAGCGTGATGAACGTGAACCGTGACTTTATGCTGTGACCGATTGATGAGCTGAAGCACCCCCGATGAATACAACACGATTTCCTACACGTCCCTACTCTACCACGGCCCGTCATGGCCGAGCTGCTCTACACTCTCAACACACAGAACTGAGCCGCCCGAATTATCGATCACATGCAACCTGATTTCCCGTCCATCCCGCACCAGCACACAGCACGGTGTGCGTGGGTGCAACACCAATTTTAGTAAGTGCCACAGACACACATTCTAGCTGAATACTACTGCGTACGGGTCCGTCACTCGCAGCACACAAAACATGCACCAATGGGAGCAAGAGGCAACGCGTGTCTCACCTTGATGAACTTGCCAGTTTCAACTCCCTTCTTAAGGGCGCTGCGCATCTGGTGCGGCGTGAAGTGGAGGGCCGGGTAGGTGGCGGTGATACTCTTCTTCATGGCCTGGATGGAGGATCCGTTCCGCTCCTTGAGAGTCTTGATGGCATCGAACACCATCTGCAGGACGGCGAGATAGGGCGCGAAAAAAACGGCGTTTTGACTCGTTGGCTTTGTTGTGGCAATGATGCTGTAGCGATCGGGGGTCAGAAGAGGGTTACGCCCCCCCAAGTTTCGTGTATCCTCGAAAGCAGAATCTCCAACAGTATTTACGGCCACAACAGGCGGCAAAAGGTGATGCGACGACCCTACCATGCATCTTGAATCTGCCCTCACCGTGTCCTGTAGACTAAATAGACAACTAACCGTCGTCTACTGCTTGTACATTGTTGTTGTTGTTTCTCACATTAGCTCTATAGTCCACAAAAAATGGGGAACCCGTGGTCTCAAAACCCGGCACATACGACGCCGCGAGAGAACAAAAAAACAAAAATAGGGTACAAACCACTCGGAAAAAGAAAACAAAATGATCGAAAGAAAAGAACAGGTATTATCGCACCGACCGTTCAAGAAAAGAGCCCTCGGACACCGATCAAAATAAAACAAAACAAAAATAAGGCCAAATGTTATGGGGAATTCCAAATTGGAATTTTGGGGGGCTCCGTGAAAAAATGACTACCCACCCTGGGGAAAGNAACCACTCGGAAAAAGAAAACAAAATGATCGAAAGAAAAGAACAGGTATTATCGCACCGACCGTTCAAGAAAAGAGCCCTCGGACACCGATCAAAATAAAACAAAACAAAA